TAAATAAGCAGACAAATTTTCCTGTAAATCTCTACAGTTTAAGGGATAGCTAGAGATTCATCAATTTTATAAGAAATAATATTATTATCTTATTCATAATATCCTTTTATTGCTATAGGCAAATTATTAAATCGAACACTTTTAATTCTGCTTAAATTTTTTTATGACCTGATAAGTGAAAAAGCTCATTAGAATTTTTCTAATAAAATAGGAAAAAATACAATGAAAACAGTTACAAATTTGATAAATTATTTGTACAAGAGCTTTAATATAAACTGAAGTAGTGATATTTGTAATAGCTATAACTATATTGAAGTAGTCTGTAACCTTGAATGATATTCCTGCTTCTACTGTATTTGTATAAGTTATACAATCAAGTCACTCTAAATAACATTAATATCAGAAAAGTCTCTTTAACATTATTTTTCATCTATATTTCTATAATAAGTACAGGTTCTAATAAATGAATTATCAGGTTTAAATACTTTTTTTACTAATGCTCTAGCTATCATCACTCTAATAAATACAAATATAATACGTTTATCTTACCTTAAAAGATCATATCCTATTCGTATAGCTTCAGCTTTATTATTCAGATTATAAAGAATTTTAACTCTTTCACCCACATGAGACTGGTATCTGTTATCAATTATATAAATATCTTTATTATGATATGCTTTAAAAAAGTTAGTGTTAAGATATTTGTAAAGGTATCTATAGCTAAAACATATTTCACAGATCTTAAAATATCACATATTATATTTTCAGACTCTCATGCATTTATACTACTGAACATTTGATGCATAATAGTATTGGCTTTATTAAGAATAGCTACAAATAGACAGGCTAAAAACTTAATATGAAAAAGTCTTTCAACCTATATAATAATATTCTATTTATCTATAAATAAATCTTCTGGTGTATATTGATAATTGTAAATTTAGAAATCTAATGCTTTTAAATCATTAAGTTTCACTTTTAATTCATTGTTAAGAAACTTACGGTAAAAATATTCAGATAAAATATAGCAAAAAAGAAATATTATATATTTTATCTTTCAATGCTATAATAATTTCTTTTAACGCAGTATTTTTTTATATTCTCAAAGAAGAATGAATAAGCGTTGTTATTTTCTCAGTACTTAAAAATTGAATATACTTCTGAAAAATTCCTTAATTTCTACATTAATAATCATCTTTGATAATCTTACAAAAGAATAAGAATTTGATATAGCATCGCTTATTCTTTTAACTATTCCTCGCTTAGATTTTACGAAAAATTTAATTGCTTCTCCAAATGTCAATTCTTTATGATCTGATTTATATTGCTTTTACTGATAATATCTAAGCATAAAACTCTCGCTTCTAAAAAGAAAGTCATATAATTGGTCTTTTTCATGTTTGATATCGCAAATAGAGCATACTTCTAATGATTGAGCTTGAAAATTGACAAATCCCTTTTTAATATTATCAATCTTAAGACATTCATATTTTGCGGTAACCAAACTAACTCTTACACTTAAAACAGTTTTATCTTTGATAGGTTGAAATTCCTCTTTTTTTAACTTTCAGAGAAAAAGTTCAGAATCAGATTTCAGAATAATTAGATTTAGATTGAACTAAATAATTTTCTAGCTCATAATATCCTTTCTTGACAAAAGAAATCACAGGTCTTTTAACTCTATCTTCTTTTACTGATTTAAGAAGATAAAGGCTAAAACGAGATTTATAAAATCTAATATCAATAAACTTTAAATATAAGAAGTTTGCTAGAAAAAAGGTGCTTTGAGATTAATTTTTATTTTTGCATAATATGATAAACAAAATTTAAGCTTTGATCTATTTTTATAATTTTAAATCATATGATTTATATTATAGGTTGTTTGCAATAGAAAGGGAGTAAACTACCAAAAAAATTTTTTTGATAGTTTTCTCCCTTTCTATTGCAAAGAGCCCATATATTTAAAAAATTATATTATATAATATAAAATAAAATATTAAATTATGTTGATAATTTCTTAAATAGTATATAAATCATATAAATCATTTCTAAATTCTATTTTTAACTTTCTATGTAAAAAAATTTAATTGCTATTTATTCATTTTAATATTAAGTTAAAGTACTTTAAAAATTTAACCAATTAAAGTTATTATAGCATAGATTAATATAAAACAAAAATTTCAATTTTAGTGAAAAGGTCTCAGAGCCCCTTTTTCCTAGCAAATCTCCTATATGGCTTTTCAACCCTATCAGCAATTTTTTTACAAAACTCTTAAGGTCTCTGTAATCAATAAAATAGGCATAAAGATTTATGATATGCTAACTGTATTTATTATTATTAGACGAACTGGCTAAAGCAAAAGCATTTAAAATTATGAAATAATTTAAATTAGAATATAATATCAGCATAGGCAATTAAGATTTTGGATAATAAATCTTTATAAGAAATTTTATATTTATTTAAAAAAGGAAGTTCAGGATTCATAAGATCAGGTTTTTGCCTTATGTCAATATCTAGAATCAGATGAAGAGGCAAATTCTCATTAATATATTTATAAGTATCTGGTAATCCATAAACTTCAGATAAATGATCAACTACTGTAAAACCTTCTTAGATATTCAAATAATATATTTTAATAAATCTTTTTAGGATAATAGACGTCTAGAAGAGAGAGATCATTTTCATTATTAGACAAATATTGAAAATATATATGATCATTATAATCAAATTTATAGTTAAGGTTTGCTAACTCTGAGAAAGCCTGATAGCTTTGTTTATTATTTTAAGGCTAAACCTAAGATTTTTTTACGTAAGTATAATAGTATATATAAGAAATTAGTATAAAATAACAGAGAAACTTACAAAGTTTAAAATAAAAATTTTATATAATTTTAGACAAATACGCTTGCTGGTAAAATACTAGATTAGTAGTAGTACTTAGTACTAAGCTAAAAAAAAGTAAACAATGCAGTAGTATCATAAAGTAATCAATATGATAGTATCTTAAAGTATTCTAAAGTAGTAACTATATGGAAAAGAGTTCTAGGAATGCAAGAGTGAAAAATAAGATATAAATTTGATAGTATACCAAAGTAGAATAATATATAAGAAAGAAATAAGAAGTTATACTTTAGTATATTACTGCTGATAAGCAGAAAAAGAATTGGAAAGGCAAAAATTTTCAGAAAAATATAAGAAAAAAAAGGTATAAAAATTGTATAGCCAGAACTAATTCAGTATTTTGTGTCTTATCCTTGATAATCAAAAGGGTTATAAAGAATGAGATTGCAAAAATAGCATAATATCAGCACTTTATGCCTCACCAGTAATCAAAAAATAAGTTAAATGAATTACAGTATATCTTTAGTAAATAGATGAATTGCAAATTCAACACTTTGTGTCTCAATTTAGTAATCAAATGAAAATATAATAGCAGAATTGTGTGAGTCACTAATTCAGCATTTTGTATCTTATCTAGCAATCGAAAAATAATAATTGAGAGGAAAAATAAATGGATTGCAAATTCAATACTAATTCCTAATAATCATATAGGCTGATTTTAATACTTCTAATTCTCTAATCAGTTCCTTAAAAGTAACAGGAAGGTGATAGGAATGTACCTCACATATGTTTTTTTTATATTTATAGTAATATCTATCGATCAATATATAACTTAACTAGAAAATTCATATTAGATACATCTAATAAAGTAAGTTCTAAAAGGTATTAATATAAATATATTACATTTTTAACTTCTAACATTTTGATATTAAGAATCTTACAAATAAAAATTGAAAAAGTTATATTAATATTTAGTATTAAAAATATAATAATAATAATAACTTTAATAATATTTTTAATTTAATAATTATTTGCATTTTTTATTTTAAAGTTTAATAATTATACTTTATTATGTGATTTTTTTTCAATTATTACTTTGTAAGTGATCTGATAATTCTTTAAATGTTTAAATATATTAAATTGTTATTTTTAATATGTTATCTGTATTTATTATTGATAAAATTTGATTAAATTTATTTCTTATTATTGATTCTCTATAAACTATAAACTTTTCATAATTGCATATTACTAAAATTTAATAAAATTAACAAAATAATCATTATTTTATTATTTTTATTTTTATTTATTATTGTTTTCTAAATTTATTATAAAAAATAAATAAGTAAAATATATAACATTATTTCAATTAATTCAAATAGTTTATATCTAAATTGTAAAGGATTTTGTTTGACTAGTTGATCAGATTTAAAGTATATTTATTAAATAATATAGATTATTGAAAGAATACTAAATAAACCAATTGATACTATTTTTTAAAAAAATTTATTATTACTTTAGTTATACCTTTTTATCAATTTCATTTTAATTTTTTATTAAATCATTTTTTTTAATATTATCATATACTCTTACTAATAGATTATGATTTATTAAATATTTTTGTATTTTCAAAATAAATTCTAATAATCCTTAGTATATTAAAATATATATTTTAATAAAAAATTTTATTATAATTTTAATAGTAAAAAGGTTTTTTATTAAATCTATTTTTTTTAAAAAATGTTTATTAAAATTTATTAATTTATTTTATTACTTTAAATTAAATTATTTTTTGTTTTGATTTAATAAATATTTGAAAAATTTTATAGAAACAATTATAATTACTACCATTTTTTTTCAAAAAGTTAATGGCTTTTTAAAATTCAGAATCATTATATCTATTATTTTATTAATACTTTGTATACCTATAACTCTATATATATAAATTTATATTTCTTTTATGTATTTTATATATTTTGCAATAATTGAAGTTTAATTATTTGTTATACCATCATACTTTATATTATTCATCATGTACAGCAAAACTTATTTTAAGGAACAACCAAAAATTCATTAAATTAGGTCTAAAATTATTATAACATCATGTGAACATATAAACGATGTGAACAGAATTTATGAAAAGTAAAAAAAGAAAAAGCAATTACCTAGTTTCAGGTAACATTGGATACTGAAGTCTAGCTATTGGTTTTATAGTTTCACCACTAACAAGACATCTTAATACATAAAAAGAAAAATAATGTGAACTTAGCCGTCTCCATAATAATAAATATTGAAAGAATATTGCTGATAATGGAATAGGTAAATTCTAATAACATCGAAATGGATTCAAATATAATTAATTTACATTTCATTTGATTTAATAATAAAATTCACAATACTACAAACCTGCATTAATAAATGGCTCACTTTCGGTGGCCATGATATAAATGCTGAAGACATAGGGGAAATTGGAGTTATTGACAATGACGATGATGAATTTGAATTAATCATTATTCGATTTTTCCTCATTCTAATAACTTGATCAGACTCTTCATTTTGAGAGTTTCGTTCGAACCTTGATGTCGATTTACCACTAAGATTGTTAATTATCGGGGAAGTAGTTGTAGAAGGAATACTTATTTTACGTAATCGGCTATTCCATGGCCAAAATGACTTTATACCTCTAAAAACTCTAGCGATTCCACGAGTTGCAAAATAATCTGGATCGCATATTACAAATTTTAATCCACCTAGAAAATAATGTATAAAATTGTATCAATAATGAATTGGTCTTACTTAAAAACCAATTTAAATTGATTATTACCCGGTAATCGATCCGGATCTTTGAATCGCAACATAATTGCAAATAATGGAAAGTGATTTAAGAACGCCAATAGAGTTTCCATAACTGCTTGCAGAAAGATAACAGCAACACGACTCTAGAAATGAGAATTTATGTTAGTGACATATTAAGATTGTAATAACGAAGCGAAAAAAAATATATATTTACAGCCGCAAAAGTTGCATAATAAACCACTACTGTAGGAAATAGAAATGTTAATAGCGTAAATAGTATAGTGCCCAAGAGCAACTGGTCCAGATCATAATCACAGGAATCAATACGGTTCCGTAATGTGTTCCATTTCTTGCCTAAATAAATTACAATTAAAATATCTAAATATATTCATGTAGCTAAAATCAAATCAACTTTAGTACCTTGGAATAAATTAAATAGAGAATATAATATGGTAAGCTGCCAATTGAATATTTTTGCAGCGACCATATAAAATAAATAGATGTGAATTGTCATAAATGACAAAAAATCTGATAATAATGATATAACCATTGATCCACCGAACATTCCAGATAACCCAATAATTCCTATAATAGTTGGTGTCAATGGTCCTATAATATCCACACAATCTATAAAATATATATATATATATATCAATATTTAAATATTTAAGTCTAACTAATATAAATTCTTTGATACCTTTCCATAAATCGATTAGCCGAAGAAATAGTTCGCCCAAAAACCTGTCTAATTCACTATTTAATTTCAAACCGGCTGGCCAACCCATCAGCCAATCTATCATTGATACTAATTTTTCTATCGTATAATGCTAGAATATTAAAAAAATTTATAAAAGTTGATTTAAGAAATATACAAGTTTAAATTAACTTTGACTTACATCAAGATAGTCCTTCAAAATAAGGTTTGCCACGTACTCACAATTGTTGGCAAGAAAAGAACCGATAGTAAGCCCGATAATAATATCATTTGCTACAAGCCACATGCTATTATAAAAGCTGTAAATTTTAAAAACAGATATAAAATATTAGTAAAGAAAAAAATAAAATTATACTTCTTTTTTTAAAAAAAATATTTCCATAATTGAGACTACAATTTTCACCTAATATATTGTGCTCGTGTTGTCGCAGTATTTGTCCAATCCCTTCGCCTAAGTAACATATATTGCCAAGGCCAAAAACATGCTTGTTGAAGTCGTAAATCAATTTGCTGCGCTACATTAACATGTTATAAATCCAGTTTTTAAATATGAAGGTTTACATTTAAATAAAATCACAAATATTAAAGTTTATGTTACATGTCGCAGATAAATCCTTTAATGCCATTCCATTAAACATAAAAGGGGGAAACCGTAAATTTAAAATCCACAATACGATCTCGGCGAATATTCTCACCAACATAAAAAAGAAAATTATAGGTTGTACAAGGATTGGTCGGAAAACAAGCAGCAGATATTTTATGGGATAAAGAAAACTCGTTTTAATAAAAATTGCGTATTCCATCATTGTTTCAGAAACGCTAATGTTACAGCGATTACGTCGATTGATAAAAAATCGACACCTAGTTGTGATGGCTTTCTCAGTTTCAAATGAAGAATTAATCTAAAGCAAAATAAAAATTAAATTCCGAAATCTTATGTAAAGTAATTATTAGAATTTAATTTTAACCTGATTCAAAATAAGTTCCATGTCATTTATCTGCGTTCGCTGTTTCCCCGAGTGTAAACGAGTGTTTATGATTTTTTTCATGTTTTTAATAAGAAGTGAATCTTGAACAACCTTATGTCTGCCGTTTTGTTGAATATCTAGTACTAATGGATCAAGTGAAATGTATTGAAGTCTAGTTGGATTTGGTTGTTTGTAGAAAATGATTTCTGAACTGACATTTGAATAACGATATCCACAACAATAGATAGATCTTTGAATATAATTCAAAAAGTATTAATTAATTTATCGAATTAAACATATAATACAAAAGATCGCTCTTACCTTAGAAGAGGCATGTTATTGCTCTGCAATTGGATTGTCATCCATAAATTCGCCGTCTTCCTTTTGTCTGCAACACCTACATCAAAAAAAAAAGTTATCGGATAAAGAATTTAAGAAAGTAGATAATAACAAAATAGATAATAGAAAATCTTACCTTCTGCATTCAGGATACTTCCCCCTTCCTCGTTGATGTCAGAAAATGTCGTCAAAAGACCCAAAACTATTGGAGGTGCTCCACACACCTTTCCCATGTATACAAACGATGAACTAGTATCTGTTGATAAAGCAGATAATGTGGCTTCTAGATCACTAAGCTTTGAAAAATATTAAATATATTTTTTTTTAAAAAAAAAAATTAAAAATGATAAATTTGATAATATCGCGCTTACATTTACATCCGAGATTACCGATGCAATACAAGTGGTAAAACTACGAATGTTCCAACCGATCAAGAATCCAGCTTTAGTTCGGGGTGTGCACACATGTGCCGGCCAGAATATTTTTGATACGGCTCCTGGAGTATTCATTTTATAAGGAAAGAATTATTTATCTAACTTATATCGCGAAGAAAAAACAAAACAATTAATATTTGTAACGTGGAAAAAAAAAAAAAAATACTAAAAGATATATATTATTCTCGTAATTTACCTCACTAAAAGTCATATAAACAAATTTTTGACGAATCTCTTATTAAAGTTAAAAACTTCCTCTTCTTTGAAGGTGCTCTCGTGCTGAGGTCCTATACGGGTAACCAGTATTCTTGCAAAAAAAAAAAAGTTTTCAGTTTATATGGTTGATCCAAATTAAATTTGAGAAATGATAATTTTAAAGTCAAAGTTTACTTTTTTTGACTCACAATCTGCAATTTTGTAAAGTGGAAAGAGTATAAGAAGAAAAAGAAAACTGAGTCCTACTAGTACATAAAGAAGGTGACGCTATTCGTTGAAGGAATAATTAGTTAGAACCAAATTAAATCGCGCATATTTACGAAATTTTAGAAATGTCAAAAGCTTTTAAACTTCGAAGCTACCTTGTGAGTAGTTGATGGAATGTCGTTGAAGTTTTCGTAAAGCTTGTTCACCAGGTTATAGTGACAAGCGGTATAACCTACTCCAAAAGAAGCTATGGTACCCAGAAGGTACGCGTGCATAAGCAATAGTGTGCTGTCGAACGAAGTTTAAACAACGCGAATATAAAAAAAAAATTATTTCATGAACTAACATGTAGCGCAGTAATTCCAACTGGCACTATGATTAATTTTTAATCAAATGTAAAATTACTTTATTTAAATTGTAAAAAAAAATTGATATTTTTGTTTTGGTGAATATTATATTATTAAAAACATTATTTTATTGAAAAAATATTTGGATTTGAAGTTTTTAATGTCCTCCCATTTTTTGATTTACAGATAATTTAAAAAATACACCCCCAATTTTTTTTTTTTTTTTTTATATTATTAAAAATGTGGAAAAACAAAATGGATTTTTAAAAAAGATGATCATCTTAAATCATTCAATTGAAATTTGTTTTCCACGTCTTTCAACCTTTGGAACGACGATCGACAAAATACCATTTTTATAAGAAGCTTTCGAATTCTCGGGATCAATTTTACCAGGAAATTGGAATGAACGTTGAAAATGACCCCTCATTCTCTCAGAAGTCCAAAATTTTGGTTCATCTAAAGCAGCACCACCAGCCTCAACAACTTCTCCGGTTGGGGTGGAATCGGCTGTGCTACCTTCAGCTGCAATCGTATCACCGGTATTATCGACGGTTCTCATTCCCTCTGCCGGAGCTGCAGTTCCTTTCTCAACTTTACCTTTCAAGAGGAGAATATTATCGTCCAAGAACTCCACAGACAAATCTTCTTTTTTCATACCAGGAACTTCAGCTTCGACAACATAATTTTTATCGGATTCTGATACGTCAACGGAAGGACGATAAATATTTGGGAAAGTTAATCGATCCGATAAGGTTGGAAAAGAAGAAGGATAACGACGAGCAACGTTAGATAATAATGGCTCGTCAAGTAATGTAAAGGCTCGATTAAGTTCTGGAAGAAAACGATTAATAAGAGACATTATTATCTGAAAAAATTTTTTTTTTTTGTATTGAGAACGCGGTTAAAATGTGCCGCTATTTATATGTATTTTTAAAAGATCATCAAATCTAAATAAATAACCTAGAATTTGCCAGAAAATTTTACTAATTTTTCATTGTCGTCATATTATAAATACAACTAGCGTTCAAGCTAATTCGGGAAATTTCGGTGATTAAAGCATGATATTCATAACATGATGATTATATTTTGGACGTGGAGTAATTTGCCGGATAATTATAACAGTTACTATGTTGCCACGAAGTGGCTATCTCGAACTGTTAAGCGATCTTAGATAACCCGACAAATCATCCAATATTGTTATATTGAATGAACATATATTGAAAGAAATAGTCGGAACGTTCGGTATAGTTTTGAGTTGATAATTATTGGCTGATATCATTGTGTATCATAATAAAATGGGTATTTAGTAGTAGAAAAGCAAAAAAAAATTAAATTTTACTTTTTATGCTAATTATTGATTTTTTAATAAAATAAATACAGATTTAATATTAATTCAAAAAAAAATTTTTTTATCAAAGTTTCTTCCTTTTTATTATATAAATCAAAATAACATAATTATTATCAAATATAAAATTCTATTTAAAATAATTATTCCTTAAACTGTAGAGATTCGCAGGCAAATTTGCCTGCTTATTTACTATAAATTCTCTTCTGATTTACTTTTATAAAAAATTAAAATTTTTAAAAATATTTTTTTTTTAAATTAATTTTATAAATATATATAATATTATAGTAAATTTTATTTTTTAATTATATGGGAGTGTTTCTAGGAAAATCAGGTTCCGAGAAATTTTTGACTAAAATTAAGAGCTTAATACATTTTAATCTAATAACATCAAAAACTAAAATGCAATAAAAATCTCAATTTCGCTAAAAAATTCCCGGAACCTGATTTTCCTAGCAATCAACCCATATAATACTTACACTAGCATGAGAGAAAACTGAACAAATACGATCATTAATTTGAGCATGAGGCGGTCCGGCTTCTAACACTAATACATTTATATTAGGCAAGGAATGAATTAATTCTTTGGCCAATACACATCCTGCGCTACCGGCCCCGATTATAATAAAATCATAGATTTCTTTTGGTCGAGTAAACATGATTCTACTCGTATAATCTACGCTTTGTGACCATAATTCTCTTGTTTTTGCTTCTTGTTGAAGTTGATGAAATTTTTGTTCCACTTGTTCAAACTTTGGGTTAGAAGCTTCTGCTTCTTGAGGTGGTGATGATGAAGAGGATGGTTTTAAATTCGATTGATCTAAAGGGATACGGAAACTCGAAGTAATATCACTGCTAGATGTTGGAATGTCTTGAGATGGTGACGATGACGTTAACAATGGGGATGATGACGTTAACGATGTGGTATCACTGATTGTACTGTGATCTTTAGGATTTATTTTTGAACTTTTAAATCTACTTTGAATATAAATTTTGATCCGAGAGGAATGTATTCTATTACTTTGTAAAAGGTTCGATAATGATCTTGTATTAGAACCGTGAATAAACCGACGCATTTTTTTTTTTTTTAATGTGAAGAAATTTTTGGGTTGATTTATATTTATTTATACGTATATATATTATATTGATCAGGTTTATAACATGTTTAAAACCAGAAATGTTAATCAATTCATCAATTCCGGAAATTCATATCTAAATAATTGTATATTTTTAGAGTAAAATTACCTTTTTCATAAAAAAATCATGAAATTGTTTGAATTTCGACTTATCAAGGATTTGGGCTAGGTCACTTGGTTGGTAACGCTTGCATACCTATTAACGGGTTACCTTTTTTTAGCAAACGAATTTCTTGAATTTGAAAAAGAACATTTTTTTTTACTTGTTCTACAAAATTTAGTTTCATTAAAACGACTGCAACTGCAATGTATATAATTCTTGCGACTTTCAGAAATGTGTCGGAGAAAATACTTTTACACTTGACTAAATGAACTCTAATTCTTTTGTTAGTTAAAAAGTCGCAGTCAATATCAAAGTGCGAATACAAGAGATGCGTAACATGTTTAAAATCCTGACAAGAAAGCTCTTCGAACCTAAAAAGCACGGAAGCTCGAAAGTAAAAAGAATTATGCTCATTCGAAAATTACGAAATCAAGTTATTTAATTTTTTTTTCTTTATAAAGTAAGCAAACGATTATTTAGTTTTCGGCAATGACGTCTTCTCGGGAAATGGTTGACCCATAAAGATTACTTCATGCAACAAAACAATCAAAACAATCTTTACTGAATATATATTTAAATTTAAAATGATTTTAACCGAATATGTATACGTTTACTAATTTGGGTAAATCAATAATTATGCTATGGCACCATCTACTTTTAACATGTGAATAATTAAATCCAAAACGCGCGTAGAATACCCATCTAGTAAAATATATATTGAAAGCATTAATATGTTATGTTAATATGAAAATAAAGTTTTTGGTAATAAAAAAAACTTACATTCATTATCGTACCAAGCAACAAGTTTAACAAAAGTAGGACTTAATTGAATTCCTAAAAAAAAAAAAAAAAGTTCAATTATAAATGATGAATTCCTTCAAGTTTATCAAATTTTTCCTTTAAAAATATATAAGTATGTGTGTGTGAAAGAAAAAATTGATTACTTGCCAGCTTTCGCATCAAAAATACAAGAATGAGAATCGCCAATAAAATCCGAAGAAACGACGTCATCTTCAGTGTAGCTCAATACACCTTTCAATTCATTTTCCGAAGCGCGTTTAATGGCTTGTTTAATTTCTTCGTAGTTTGTTTCTTTTTCCAATCTAACAGTTAAATCTAATACAGAAACGATAGTAGGCGGAACCCTAAAGGCCAAACCGGTCAATTTTTTGTTTAATTCAGGAATCACCCTACCAACAGCTTTGGCTGCTCCTGTTGAACTTGGTATAATATTTTGTGATGCTCCTCTACCACGTCTCCAATCCTTTTCGGAAGGTCCATCAACAGTTTTTTGTGTAGCCGTAGTGGCGTGAACTGTTGTCATCAATCCTTCTATGATGCCAAAGTTATCTTGAATTACTTTGGCTAAAGGTGATAAACAATTTGTTGTGCATGACGCGTTGGAAACAATTTTATATTCTGGCTTATATAGATCCGTGTTAACTCCTACGACAAACATTGGAGAATCTGCTGGTGAAGTTATAACCACCTATATAACATGTACGAGAAAGGTGAATGAGGAAAAAAGCATCATTTATCTATCTATATATGTATTCATACCTTCTCGGCGCCCTGTATAATTATCGATCAAAAAGTGAATTGAAATTCGTTTAGTAAAATGGTCCTCGCTTGGAATGATTAAATATATAAAAATATCACAAACCCCTATTATAAATAAAAAAAAAAAAAATTTAATATTTTACACATGATAATTCATTAATATATTCTCTCATTGATATGAATATACATATCCACCTTTAAGATGAGCAGATGATTTCTCGGTGGAAGTGAAAGCACCACTGGATTCCACAACGATTTTAACTCCAACTTGACCCCAAGGAATTTCTTCGGGATTTTTCTTGGTGAATACACTAATTTCACTTTCATTAATAAATAATTTTCCGCTCTTTACTTCGACATCTCCTTTAAACCTTCCATACGTAGAATCATATTTAAACAAATAAGCCTAATATAGCGATAGTCAATTAACAAATTGGATGCACACGTCACGAAAATAAAAATATCATTAATCATTACCATGTAATCAAGGTCAATGAATGGATCATTGATGGCTACTATCTTGATATCGGGATAATTTTGGGCGATACGAAGAACCAACCGTCCAATTCTTCCAAACCTATAAAGTAGGAAGGTGAGTGTTAATGACGTTATCACGTGATTATCGATCCAATGACAAAGTTGCAATTACCCGTTAATTCCAACTTTCATAACCATGATTACAATGATACCAAGGCGTTTGTAGTGATTGAATTTATTTCTGGATTATTTCTGAACAAGTCCATTGCAAAAAAGAAAGCGGTCCAGCCATTTATATACTTTTTTTCTGTTTAACTTTCAAAAGAAAAAAAATCAAAATTTTTGATTTAATGACATAATAGTTTGATTTTAAAATGAATTTTTAATTTAATCATCCAATAAAAAAAGATCTTTATTTAAGATGATGTTTTTTCGCACAAAAACATTGAATTACAAATTCATTAAATTCATTATAATTTTATTGGATACATAATTTGATGATCCTAATTTGAAAAAATTATAAATTAGCTCAACCAATCTGAAGGTTTTATGGAAAACGTGAGATTAACATTTATTATTGAATCAAAAAATCATATGTTTATCGCAACAATTAAAAATGTCATTCATTATACTTGAATAGATCTTCCTTTTTTTGAAAAATTGAATTTTTCCATTTTTCAATAATTGTATATAGTTTATTAATCAACCATATAATTAAAATTTTTTATAAAATTGATATTAATTCTTATTTCTATATTTAAACAATTATCCTTACATCCATTATTTATATCTATTTTAAAAATGAAAAGCTGAATTTATAAGATTATATAGTATTCTTTTAATAATAGTTCTAAAGTATATCAATTTCTAAATACAATTTGAATAGCATAAAATATGGAAGAATTAGCAGTTACCAAAATTAAAATGTATTGTTATATATAGTGATGCTCAAAGTATTGAATCACACTTGATTACAAATTATTATCTTATAATTATAAAAGCAAATGTTATATAAATTAATGAACTTATCACAAGTTTATTCAATAGTATAAAATTGTTATATAATAATTAAAAAATATTTTTTAGATGATTTATATAATTCTTTCTTTTTAATCAGTTTTTTTATTTAACTTTTCATATAAATAAAAAATCAAAAATCAATCCAATTGTATTAAAATTTTAGTAAATAATTATTTATCATTTTATATAGCTACTAATAGCTCTAATTATATAATTTATATGAGTTAGTATAATATTAACCAACTTTTTATATATATTAAATTTTTATTTAATCTAAATTTCTGAATTGTATCTTGTAATTAAAGATACTGCTGCAATTAATTGCAACCAGTGATAAACAAGTATCAAATAGTTACAACTAAGACTACTCTAATAAATAATTCTATTTAATATTAATTTCTTCTTATTTTATCAAAATTTGGATTTAAATACACGTTTATAAATTAAATAACATATTTATTAAATTTAATAAATGATTTAATAGACTTATTACTTATTAAAAGATTATAAACTCATTATTATTATATAAATATCACCCTTTTTTTCTTTTTTTTTTGTTAATTTTCTAATCTTTTTTTTACTCAATATATGAAAAGATTTATCTATAAGTTGATAATTAAATAAAACAAATATATAGATTAATATTTATTAAACAAATCATCACTAATTTCTACTAATGTATTATATTTATCACAATAAAAGCAAATATAAGATTTTTTTATTAGCTTAAATAATAATTATTTTCAATTAAAAAATCACAGTTAAGAAATTAGTGAATAAAAATAATACCTCAAAACTTATGTAATAATAATATTTACTCTTTTATTTCACAAGTAAAATTAAAGTCATATACTTTAAATTATAGTATAAAATATATAAGCTTTTGTTAAAATACTTATATTATAAATACATCAGATTTTTTCACAAAAATTATATTAAACAAATTTTTAAACTCAGCTACTATTTCCCTCTAAATGCTTGAAAGAACCATTTTTAATGAGCAACCTTTCAACAGAAAATGATAATAGAAAGTATCAATATCATAATGCTATTCTTAAAATTATCTATTAATTTTTTATTCTCAAAAAATTTATATTCTTCAGAACTAATGAATTTAAGATTAATATTTAATAAAAAGAATAATTAAAAAAAGACACATAACTTCAATAAGTTCCTAGCTAAATTGTTTAATTAATTCTTAATTATAATGATCTCTTAATATAAAAGCATTCATATCACTAAATTTTGTCAAAGGCTTTTCAGTACTTTCAAACTTCTAAGCTAAAATATTTATCAATTTAGATTATAGTTATCAGTAAGTATTGCTCAAAATCTAAATCACGTAGTTATAAAAAACTAAAAAATTCTATTAAGATCAATAATCTATATGATATTAGAGATCTTTAAAAGAGTATTATTATTTATAAAGGTAATTGAATAATCATCACATGAGATTTATTTATGCCTAAAGTTATGTCAATTCTGATTATCATTTCAGATACTTCCTAATACTCACTTTTTTGTAAGTAAAAAAAAGAAAATAAATGAAAAAAATATTTGAAAGAAATAGTGAAAAATATATTTTAATAAAAAAACATCATCATTTAAACTGACAACAGAATATTTTTGATAAAGGTATAAATAATTAAAAGAGGAAAAGTTTAAATAAAGAGTTTTTATTTTTTATTTGTAAGCTAAGCTGTGGCTACTCTTGATATATATACATTTTTTACATAAAAATTTTTAGATAAAATTTAATAAGAAAAAGAGTTTTTTTAATATATTTAACTTTGTTAAGCTGCTTTAAGACAATTCTTCATTTAATATAACTTTCACTTATATGTAACTAATAGAATTACAATATTTTAGTCATATGATAGCTTATTGATTTTTTTATATATATGATATAACATAAATCAATAATAATATACTTCTTAAAATGGATAAAGATTTACAAAATTTAAATATAATTTTTATATAAAATAAGAGATGCTTTTAATTAGTTTTCTATAATAATTTATTTATACAAAATATGTTTTATCTTTTAATTTAAGTTAATAAAAGTATTAGGTGTATTATTTTTGAACGTGTAGTAAATATAGAATCTATAAATAATAAATTTTCTGACCTTTTTAATGCAATAATATAACAATAAGGAGATAAAAGTTTATCAAACAAGAAAAGTTTGAAACTTAATGAGAAGTTAATAATTAATTAAATACAACTTAAAAATGCTAAAAATTTAGGATTTTTACAAGTTAAATTTTGTATAGTCAAGTTAGATTTAGATATATAAGATATTTCTATTATAATTTAAACTAAGAAAATTCTTTTAGCATTTTAATACAAAATTTAAGAAAATTTTTACTTTCTCAATATACTACTAAATATAATAATTGTAATTAACTTTATAATAAAATTATTAATTATTTCAAGATCAAAAAGTTGGCTGAATAGATAGTATATATAATATGATTATCAAAATATTTATAAATCATATTAAGAATGTAACTTAATATATTAATCTATATTACTTCACATTAAATATACATTTATATCACTTATCTATTCTTTTTACATAGCTGAAAACCTATCAAGATGGTAAAAAATACAACTAATATTTCTGATCATTATTAAAAAATCTAATTATCATAACAAAAGCTTCTTCAACTTTTGAGTTTTTTTAGATTATCTATTAGTCAATTATAAATAAGTAATAATATGTGAGATCAAGTAATTTTAGCAATTCTTTCTCTAATTAGAATTCTAGAAAAATATGCTTAATATCTAAATAAAATTACTATTATTATTGAGCATCACTATAATAATAAAAATACTCATAGTCTTAAAAATAACTATATTATATATTTAAAGTTTTGAATAAGTTAAGTTAACTTATAAGTCAGATAAGTTAAGTTGAGTTTAAATCAAATCAAATTTATATGTTTTTGACTTGATAATTTGTGAGTCATATCAAATTAAAGTCGAGTTAAATATTTAACTCAATTCAATATAAACTCAAATCAAACTCAACTTGACTCGAGTTGACTTGAAATAGTATATTAATAAATTAATATTTTAAAACTATAAAAATTATACATTATAATAATTGAAATACTTTATAATAGTTGAAATATATTATAATAATTAATAATTGAAATTTTTTTATTAATTTAAATTATAAATTTTAAAGTTTAGTAGAAATGTGTAAAGTTAATTATTTTTTTATTGATAAGATAATTATTATTAAATCAATATAGTTAAACCTTTATTTTAATGATTTTTTATTGATAAAATATATAAAAAAAAATAAAAAATCTAATTTTTTTGTAATATTTGCTTCTTTTTCTATTACTTTAACAGTTTTTTAATTAAAGTAATTACATTAGTATACTAAATGACATCTTTACTTAAATTAAGTTTAACTGTACCATATACAATTTACATTAATTAATACTATATTGAATTTGATGCCATTTTAATAGTAACACCATATTCAGGATAGATAAAATATTCTTTTTTAACTACACCAATTTCATAAACAAATCCTATTACAAATTCTGATCTATTCTTATTTTGACATCCTATAGCTTCATAATTTTCTGCACTTATTTTCTATTCATTATTTAAATTTACTTTTTGCTTAAATATTTCATATGATAATACTAATCATGATATATGATCTTCTGCATTTTTATATAACTATTCTTTAAAACTATCTTTATTTTTATTATATATTCTTTGTATTTTTGGATTAATATTTTTATTTTTATATACATATGAATTAGTAGTTGATAGATTTAAAAAATTTACACAAAAACTATGGCTAATTAATTTTTTTGAATCAATATGTATTTTATCTACAATTAATTTTAGAATATGCATCTATAGTAAGTTTTATTTTAAGCCTAAAATGATTCAAAACATTTTTATACAATATTATGAATTACTTTATTAATAATTTTATCATCATATTTTAAAAAACAGATTGATTTTCATTAATAATAATTAAGTCCTTTCTTTTACAATATCTTCACAAGTAATAAATTTATAAAGATATTTTTAGTTAAATTTAATCTATAATTTACGTTTAAATCATATATTATTTTAATAACTCTATCAAAATTTTTAAAAAGAACTTTGATTCAATTTTGCTAACTTAAAAATAAATCTTTACA